TTACGAGGGTAATACCGTCCTCTTTTTTTTTTTTTGGATTTTTCCTCTCCCCTTCCCTCTTCTCTTTTCGATTTTTCTTACTTTCCTCTTGGATTCGTGTATTTAGTTTCTGATATTAATGGCTTATTTTTTTTGGACAGGATTAAAATTAAGAATTAAGTTGGAAGAATGTGAGTGAAACGGGTGAAAGTTGGATGGAATTTAGAAGAATTAGTAATTTTCAAGATTCTCTATCTTGATTAAAGATTTTTTAAATTTTTTGTTCTTTTCTTTTTCTTATTTTTTTCTCCCTGCTCGGTTTGGCAGGAATGTAGTAAGAGAGAGAAAGAGAGAGAGAGAGAGTAAATGCAAGGGTTGCTCGTTGAAAATAAAGGCACGCGATAATTACGAGTGGTGCGTGGAAACGAGGGAGTGAAGTATCATCCTGGCTTTTATTCGAAATAAAAAAAAAAATATTTAAACGAACTAGAAGATAACAAGCTCGTACATGTGATTCTTTTTTGATCCCTCGTCCTCTTTGTGCCTCATTTTTGCAGTTTATTATTTCGTCTTAAATCGGTGACTGTTTATCTTGGAATTGAGTCGAATGAAATGAATTTCTCTTCTACGAGAATTTGAAATTACAAATACGTATTACAAGCTATTTCTCCTTAATATTCTCATTTTACTTCAAGCTTCCTCCTAAACAATAATTATATCGAAAAATTAAAGTTTGTTCTACTATATAACTTAATTAAGATATTTATTATTAAAAAAAAGAAAAGAAAACGCTTATTATTATTTTATATTAAGAATATCAAATAACATTTATTTTCATATCTTGATCGTATCTGAATAATATCGGAAATATTTCCAGCATAATGAAATAAATATAAAAGTATGAAAATATAAAATAAATCCATTTCATTCCGTCGTTATACAAATACTTTGATCAATTGAAGAATCAAAAAAAAAAAAAAAAATTAATTTGACTAATTTTAACAGCGAGAAAAATAATCGTTTGCATCTCTTCACGGTTTCGAGAAATCCGTGATTTTATTCGCGGAAATTCACTCTCATCTCTTGCTTCATCTGCGTTGAATTCCTTCGACGACAGTGATCAGAATTCTCTCACGTGATTCATTCCTCCTTGTTCCTCCTCGCTTTTTTCCGCCCCTTTCCCTCGACGTTCACGGCCGATGCCTCGAAAAACGAGGGACATTTCCTCGCCTCAAGAGCACGTTGCTCGTTAAATCTCCTAACTCGTCGCATCTTCGTCCCTTTTCCATCGCGACTTCCGCCACAACTCCGCAGACACTGACTCGAACAAAGATCGTTCCGTCTTTCCATGTTTATCGATTCCTATGTGGATAGATGTGCAAACGATTCGTCGTTATTTTATTCCTCTCGTCATATATTTTTATCTCCAATTTTACAGGCGAAGCGACAATTTATCATACGCGGTACGCTCGCGAACGAGGATATTGTCTTATGATAAATATATTTTATTATAATACGTTTATATAGTTTCATATATATATATTTTATTACAAGAAAGAAATAGTTTATATTAACTGAACAAATAGTTTAATTTATAATTATTTATAAGAATATCATATTCGTATTTGTATACATTTGAGAAAGATACGATTTGTTTCGGTTATGTTATATTTATATTTTTAACGTCTGCTAAAAGTAAGGTATAGTTGACCGTTGGAAAGAACATTGCGGGACGGCACAGGGGCAAGAGGGGTCCTTCGTTAGGACCGCCTACCTCCCCACTTCAGGCGCTTTGTTGACAAATTTGACACCACACGCTTACATTTAGTGGAAGAAAAACTTACAATGTGAATATTCAGAATCGTAAAAATTATTTTCATTTGTGAAGTCGTAGAATAACCGTCCAAGCTAACGACTGGAAGCTGAAATATTTTCGAAACTATCTAATTATTTCGACGCATATCGACATATATTCTTACAATTATTATTTCAACTATTCGAATACACAAAATTATATTTATAAATTAAACGAATCATAATTAGTCTACGCGTATTATAAGAAATAAAAGAAATTTTTATATCTATATCGATACATTAGAATTCTCTGGATTCTATGTTCTTTTTGGATCAGTATACGTGACAAATATGACACGATAGAAGCAGAAATGCGAAAATAGATATTTCTTTCGCAAGAATTCTTTCTACCAGTAAACAAATCTAAGTTGAGAGATATTAACGAAATGTTTTCTCATTTCAGGTGAGTTTCTACGGAAGGCAAAAGCCAAGTATGTGAGTAATATCCATGTATCAGTGTTTATATTAGTTCCCTATCTAATAGTCGAGAAATATCACAATGCTTGCTAATTAAGATAAGCAGCCAAGCTTGTAATATCAAAACTCTATGCGGTCTAATGTAATTCACTTCATGTTGCATAATTAACGATACTCGTTCTCGTCGATAATAATGGAGGCGTATGTAATTATCTTATTACATTGCAAACAATACGATAATAGATCAATTATAAAGATTTATATAGGTACTTTTCGAAAGAATGTTTTTCAATCTAACCTATTTCTTCTTCGTAAGTAAAGTTATAAGTTCATTTTTTTGTAAATTTTATTCGAAATATACCGCCATTATTTTATGGATGGATGAAAAATAATAATACTAAGGTTTGATATGTAAAATTGGAAGAAAAATTCGCATTGTAATTCGATACTCGTTATTTTTTTTTTTCCACTCGATAAATTAAACTTCACAGCGTTGAACAGAATTTCCCTAGTCTAGCTTCGGAGGAAAAAAACTTTGCATCTAATTAGATGCTTGACGTAATCTCTCAAAAGTTATTCGCAACGTTAATTTCCCGCTTCATTTAACACCGTCTCGATGGAACAGTTTTAAGGAAATTACCATTAAAGCGCTCGAATCATTGGCTTTCCCGTAATTCTGAAAGAAGTTTAACCGGTAATGATTCGTTTCATTAGTGAAGGCAATATCGTTCAAAACACATTGCGAATAATTAATATCACGAATAAAATCTTTGTTAAACTCTTTGCAAAGTTAGTTTGTTTGCCGAATGAGCAAAATGAAAAATATTGGATAAAAAAAAAAAAGTGATAAAAGAATCATTTTTCATTTATACAATTTTTTTTTATTTTTTTATTTTTTTTTTTTATATCATCAATCATTTACAACACCAATGTTAACCATTGTTTTGAAGTTTATTTAAATTTAAAACTCTCTCTAAACTCTTCGATTCGGTTTTATTCGATATTTTATTAAAATGTATTTATTTTCATGTGTTGAAATATGTATTATATTTCATATTATATTCATCAAAAATCGTTAATTTAAAATATCTCAGAATTTTATGAATGAAAGTGTTCTTGAACATTTGTATAATCGATTAATGTAATTGGACACGATTGGCATTATATTCCTGAAAATGTTTATGCTTGCTATTTTCGATAGAAGGGAATTTTCGGTAGAATAGATTCCTATAACTTGCGAAAATATTATCCACGTACGGGAGGAATAAAAAGATCGAAGGAAAAATAAGGGAAGGGCAGCGAAAGAATGGAATAACAAAAAAAAAACAGCGTGATAAAATAGAGAACTGATAATCCTATTGAAAGAATCAGAAAAATAAATAAAGAGAAGCCGAAAGTTTATCGAAATAGCCAAAAACGTGGAAACGTGTTTGTTTTCGATAGGAACGATATTTTACTCAATAATATTTTTTTCCAGTTCAAAATCTTTCTTCTCTTCCTTCGTTATTTTTTTTTTTTTTTTTTTTTTTCAGTTTTTCTTTGTAAATCGCTTTTGGACCCAATTTTTTTTTTTTTTTTTTTTTTTCAGTTTTTCTTTGTAAATCGCTTTTGGACCCAATTTTTTTTTTTTTTTTTTTTTTTCAGTTTTTCTTTGTAAATCGCTTTTGGACCCAATTTTTTTTTTTTTTTTTTTTTTAGAGTTACACTTCGTCCTTTCTATTAAAACAATGTCTAATTTTAATTTTATGTTACGCGAATGAAATTTAATATCGAAATACATCGAATACATATATATAATTCGATAACTATTCTGATATCATTTGAATATTCGAAATGATAAAGAGCAAGGAAATTGATACTTCGTGTATCATGCTCGTTCACATCCTTCGTCATCTCTTAAAAAATTGTGTAAACTTTCGAGACTTGTTTCTAAAACATTTCAACTTCAAAGAAATATACGTATTTTTAATATATCTCTTTTTAACTTACATCTTCTAACGTAAATTTTTCTTCATCCTCAACTTATTAGATTACTATCTTTTCCTATAAAGTAAAATAAAAAAAAAAAAAAAAATTGGTTCCAAAAGCGATTTACAAAGAATAACTGAAAGAAAAAAAAAAAAAAAAAAAAGAACTCATACTTTAAAGTTTCGTACGAACGTGCAGGGACAATACAGGGTGGCTAAAAAACAGGGATCCCCGTTTTTCTGATAAACGATTGGGTTGATTAATCGTTCTATGTTGTTGTAATGCACGCCAAGCCTCTACTTTTTCCCCTCTCTCTGTCATTATCCTGCTTACATCTTCTCCTTTTTTCTTCGATGCCAAGACAAAGTGTGGAACAAAGAGCACCTTAATTTCCTCGGCAAAAAAAAAAATTTATTTTTCGAGTCGCGCTGCCAAACGGTTATCTTCGACGGACGTCGATGATTTACTACGAGGCTTCCATTAAAATGATTTATCACAGAAGAATTGTCCCGGTCCAAATTGGTCCACGTCTAGCTATAATCAGGATTAACCTTAAATTTTACGCTTGGTTTGCTCAATCTTATATAATTGCGTTTACTTAAAATTATCGTACAACAATTTATTTGATCAATACATTCTTTAATTCTTTCAATTTTTTTTCGATGATTCCTCTTCTTTTTAATCTAAAAACGTGTAAGAAGAACCTTGAAGACGCGACTTCCGAGTAAATTATACTTCGACACCGCTTTTTGTTCCTTGTTGTTATGCAGTGATGTTACGAGAGAAATATAAAATTATATTTTAATTCTTTCGAGCTTCTCCTTTTTCTGTTCAATTAAATGCATCTCGAAAGAATAAATCACACTTTGCGTCGCGATTGATTATTGTTCCGCATTCTCGTCCAACTCCGCGTTGTTGTGCAATGATAAATTAAATGCAATATTACTAGAAAGAAGCTATCCAGACGACTAATTAATTTAAAAAAAAATCGTGGGGAATTATATTCTAATTATAATATATTTATTCGAGGAATTGCCTATAAAAATGGCTATTGTTTATAAGAATGATTGTTCAGCCAGTTATTCAATTGTAAGAAGAAAAATAGTCTGGTAGTAGGGTAGACGTAATCAGAAAAGTTGTCGCCAGTGTACTTGGTCAGAATCTCGTTATAGTTGCTAATAATCCGAATGTCAGAAATACTGTTAGAATAATAATAGTAACGCGAGAAAATAATGGGGCAAAAAACTCGATCGTGATCCCTCTTTCCCCATTTTTTTTTTTTTTTCTAAAAATTTTCGTTTCGGATAATTCGTCACGAATAATGGAAATGATCAAGTTTCGTAATGCATTATAAAAGACATAGCGATATTCTTATTTTCAACTATTATTGAATTTTCTTTATCTGTCGAGAAATATAATACAAGGAGGAAAATATCTTTCGTTGGAATTTTATACTCGAAGCACGAAATTCTTAATGGGATTAATCCATTTTCGAAACATAACATTCGCTTGTTAAAAATTCTTCACTAATAAATTCACTGTTTAAAGTTACACGCTGTTTCAAATACGAAGTATTTCAGTAGTTGTAACTTCGAGTGTTACGGTAGTACGAAAATTGCGCACGGATTTATTATTAACGAACTCTGTTTTTATCTTTTTATTTCTAATTTTAAATCGTTAATTTCGTTACATCGTAATTGATTTTATGTTTGACACGATAAACGTAAAAATAAAATTGGAAAGAAGTATTTTCGTATTTTATATCGATTCTATGCAAAATTAATCTTGGAACTATTCTAAACTGTATTTTAAGTGCAAAGCATTTAATTTTAATTCTATATCTTGTATGAAATATATACGATCGATATAAATAAAATTTCGATTCTTTGAAAATTTGATCTTAACTAAAATGATGCTTAATTAAAACAGTTCGATCTTTGCTTGAAACTTTCATCCGTTTCCCGATAATTACTCGATCAACGATTAGGCTAAATTGAGTTAGATAATTTTTGAACTTTTTATATGAACTATTACTATAAAAAAATAATTTTTGAAAAGAATAATAGTTAATTAAGAACAACCTTCGATCGATGTAATCTCAAAATTAATCGATTAATATAGGATAATCGATAATATAGGATATCTTCGATGTAAAAAAAAAAATCTGTTGAACTACAGTTTAAAAAAAAAAATTGATAATCAAAAATAACTGTCGATTGAACTCATCGATCAATCTCTAATCAATCGATATTATCCTTCGACGTTTGAATTCGGGATATAATAGTAAAAACAAAATCAAAAACAATTCGATTAATCTAACCTCAAAACTGATCGATCAATTTACCTCTAATCGATCGATTTATTATCTTCATTTTTTTTTTCAATATTATTTGAAAAACACTCGATCGAATGATTCAGCTTTCCCAAATTTCCAGTAAACGAGATTAAATAAACCGGTTTTCGTTGGAAGTCCAATTTTATCCCATTTCCTTTGCGTTAGTCGCAAATTTTCTCACGCGCCACGAAAAATTTCCAATGCGCCGCCGCCACCCTCTTGCGGCTAGTTATAGAACTTCTCCGCAGAACGAAGGAATGTTTTCTTAACATTCGATTTTTCAAGCAAAATACTTAACGCTTCGTAAACCAAGCAATTTACCAAGGTATGTTTCCTTCCTTGAATAAAGAGCGAAATATTCACACGCAGGGAAACATACAGAAGACTTCTTTTCGAGCTTTGAAATTCGTTTCAGAGACCGTTTTTTGTATTTTCGTTGAATTAATTGGGAAGAAATGTGCAGTTTTTTTTGGTTGACAATTTTTTTGCTTGTCTCGCTTTCAATGCTACATGTGAAGTGGAAATGGTATTGTGTAAACATTTCATAGCATATTATATATTCATGTCGAAAAGTATGAAGGAAAATTTGATCGAAAAAATAGGAAGATTGTTCTTGAATTAAATATTTATACATTCAGTAATGTAAAAAGTATAATTTCATTCAAAAAAAATTATTTCATTCGAAGTCTAACTAATTATTGTTATCACGAATTTAATACCTTTAGCTTATCTAGACGCTCGTTCATTGATGATAGTAGACATTCCACGTTAAGGGTGTATGCAGATGCATGCATAATTAGTATTCCCGTACGTACTCGTTATGCGACCAGTAACAAATTAATGATAAGCTACTGCATTAGGCTAGATAGGGAACGAGCTTATTCCATTTACTTCCTTTTACCTTTTATCTCTACGTTATATAGACGATACAACTATCTCGAATATATAATGGGCAAACTTTTGAAAGATAATCTTGGGAACGATTTACTGAAGTTTTCATTTATTATAAATTTTTTTATCCAATTTCCATTCGTTTCTAATTATTCGTTAGATCTGATAAACTATATCATTCCACATAAAAAAAAAAAAAAACATTCAATAATATTGTACATACTCGCGTATTCAGATATAGATTATATAGAATTAGAAATTGCATAATTATTATATGCAATTATTGAAATACCAGAGATGTAAATGCTATTCATTTTGACCTAAATTTCAATGAACGTTGTCATAAACCGCAACTCCTGTAATGGAGTACGTTAGTACAGTATACTCTATTCACATGGAATTTATGTACAATTCCAGAAATTCCTCGTCACAGTGTCCCTAAAGAGCTTGCATGCTTTTGCCATTCAATTGAGACGAATTGTTTTGGATTTTTACAATTTTCACTCTCACTAATAAAACAAATATCCTTCTCTACTATGAATAATATATGAATAATATGAATAATAATAATAAAGAAAAAAAATAACAAAAATTATTTCACAGAATCGAGTCTTTCGAAAAAAAATTGATTTACGGCAAATGTATTAAATTATTATATACACGTGTATATCAAATCATTATTATAAATTCGTTACCTTATTTTCGAATAAAACGTGTCCTTTCGAGTCGACACATTTCAAGGAAACGTTTCGAATACACAAGTATCCGCGTTAAGAATTATTAGAATGCTAGGGTGCTAGGTAAAACCAACTCTCCTTCAGGCCTGGAAATCGCGACACGAGGGGGATAAGTTGAATTTTTATTACCGAGTCGAGTCGAGTCGAGTCGAGTCGAGTGGACCGGCCAGGCGCAAGTAGCGCGAGACCTCAAGATGTAGGACGTTGGGGACTTTTCTACTTTCTCGGTGACCTCTTTTGCCTCTCTTTCTTCACAACGATTCGTTACAAAAATTCCCGTCGTCTGAAATGAAACTTCTTAGTCGTTTGGTTTAAAAAAAGAGCGTGTTTCTTTTCCTTTCTGTGAAATGGATACAAAAAAAAGAAAGAACGTGACGGAGGTTAGTC